CGCTGAGGCCCGTTGATCGCTTGAGGTGTTGGTACAGCCCCCGCATGTCGCGGTCCTGGTAAATCGCTTCGAGCTCCGTCACGTACCCTTCCAGGTGGTCGTAGACGCTCGTTGCGATTGTTGCCTTCACCCCCTTGCACGCTGCTTTGAGGATCCTCCACGTTGCTGCGTTCGGTCTGGCCTTGAAGGCATGCCGCGCCGCCCGTCGCTTGTCAAGGGCGGTCGCCAGGGCTGCCCGTGCCGCGGCGGTCATGTTCCATTCCGGGGTGCGCCGCCTCCGGGGTTCCTCAGACAGCTCCGTCTCCGCCGCGCCAAGCAGGGCCTCCGTGAACTCCTTCGCCATTTCCTGAGCGGTGGTCGCCGGCGCGCCCGACCTCGCGAGCAAGTTGCAGAGAAACCGTTGGGACACCGCCCATCGCGCTGCCTCGACCTGCAGATCCTGTCGGTTGGCTCTCCAGCTCTGGACCCTTTCCGTCCCCCTGTTGGGTGCTTACCCACACGGTGTGCGATCATCCCGCCACCCTCTCCGTGCTCTCCACTGCTGCCTTGCGGCGTCCAAACCGGGGCATTTGGGTTCAGACCCATCGGCAGCTGTCTCCAAGTTGGCTTATCGCGATCTACCTCGATCTCGTGACCGCGGTAACTCCCGACCGCCAAACTCAGGATCCTCTCCTAAACGGTGCTAGGGACCGTATATCCGTCGTTGTTGGGTGGTTTTTCGGGGGTTAACTGCACTTGCGCGGCCTCCCCCGGGGAGGGGAGGAGGGGGGGAGGCGGAGAGTAGGACTATTGAGAGAGCTAATGTGAGAAACAACAACAACCACTCCGCAGCCCTGATGACGCAGAATCGACCTGACTAGGCAGTGACCCAGACACACTCTGGGCTGGCGTGCTGACGTGGTACAGCACTGACACGCTACCGGGGAATCTCCCCGTGCATGAGTGACAAGCAACCATCTGGGCAAATGTATGTGGTACGCGGACGTGTTGCTGTTGTTGTTGTTGTCTTCACATTAAAAACCGTTCCGATCTCTCTCTACCCAGTACCTTCGTGTGTCCGTACTTATCCAAAACTCGACGCGGTCGATTCCCGAGGTCGCAGGCCAACTTACCCTAAAAAGGTACACTCAAATAAGATGGCCCCGAGGGGTCCGCAAGTCAATCGAAATCAACGACAGATATTCTGGAGTCCTCCACTCCCTCTGCGCGCTATGCGAGGTAACAACTGAGACTAGGAGTCACCATCACGGGCCGGAGAGAATGAGGTACAGCCCCTTGGTTCAACCTTGGTACTTCACAACGCAAGCAGAGACAAGGCCATCTGGCACAGAAAAAGAGAGAAAAAGAGACAAAGAGAAGAAAATAAATGGAAACACGTCAGGAGGCAACGATGAGATAATGTTCTCCCGTGCCCTTCTCCATTATAGGGGTTGCAGGGTCATGAAAGCCTAATTGCCATGGACGTGAGGCATCCATATTTGCAATGATGCAAGCATGCCCTACAAAAAAGAAAGTAATAAAGGATATTTTAGTAAAAAAAAAATAGAAAAGGAATCATGTTAGAAATATTTTTGAGTGTAATCTTCATAATATTATATATTTATTCAGTGGGAAAAACTATTATAGGTTTAGTATTTGTTCATTTAGGTCTATTACATAAGGATGGTTCAAATAATCCTTTAGGGATAAAAACAAAAACAGCAAACAACGTTAATTTTTATCGTTATATGTATGTAAAAGATTTAGTGGCTTTCTTTGTTCTTCTATCTATCTATATTATCTGTTGCTATTTTTTACTTTCCTAATAGCTTAGGAGATCCAGATAATAATTTAGAAGCAGATCCTTACGGTACACCAGCTAGTGATTTCAACTTTATGGGGGCGAGTTGCAGCCCCCAATCCGAACTAAGAAAAGGTTTTAAGATTGGCTCTGAATTACTCCATTGCAACTTTTTGTCCTATCCATTGTAGCACGTGTGTAGCCACATTGAACGACATAGGACGAAAACGTGAAGATTCAGTACGTATTTGAATCTGTGGTTTGTGGAGGCGTGTTGGAATTCGGAAAAGCGGGGATCGAAGAAAAGTAGAGACAGCCTTGGTGGCAGAAAATGTTTGTGCTCTCTCTGGGCGAGAGACAAGCAGCAAGTGCATTTGAGAGAAGGAGAGGAGTAGCAGAGATAGCAGCTTTGAGGAGCAGCAAACACGGAGTGCCTTCTAGGATTTGATCCATTTTTTTTATCGAGTGCCTTCTAGGATTTGATCGATCTTGGGATGGACGCCAATGATGGGCAACCGGCGAGCGCGAGCGCCGCGGCGGGCGCCGCGGCGGCCATTCCAGGCAACTCGGGGGACGGCAGTCCTCTAAACTCGGCTGCCGGCGGCGGGGACGACCAAAACAGGCAGCAGCAACAGCGTCAACAATAACAGCAGCCGCAGCTGCAGCTGCAGCAGCAGCAGCAGCAACAGCAGCAGCAGCAGCAGGGACACCAGCATGGCCATCGCAGCAAAAAAACGTCGGCGGTCTGGCGGCAGCAATTCCGCCGCCTCCCATGATTCCCGGAGCCCCCCAACCTCAGCTGCTGTCAGCTGATGCAACAGCAGCAGCATCATCATCAGCAGCAGCAGCAGCAGCAGGGGGCCGGGAACAACCCGAACGTCTTCTCGCTGCTACAACAGCTCGTCAATCAGGGCCACCGCCAGCAACTACAGATACGGTCTCTCCAGGAGGTGGTGGTAACCTTGACCGCGGGGAAAGATCCTTCGGCCCTAGAGAGTCCAAAAAATACAACCTTGTCGGAAAATTCAACAACTCTGACCGATGATAGACTGGAGGTACAGAGAAGCAGACTCGCGTCAAGCACACACTCACTAGACGAGAAGCAATGCATCATTCGGAAGANCCTTGACCGCGGGGAAAGATCCTTCGGCCCTAGAGAGTCCAAAAAATACAACCTTGTCGGAAAATTCAACAACTCTGACCGATGATAGACTGGAGGTACAGAGAAGCAGACTCGCGTCAAGCACACACTCACTAGACGAGAAGCAATGCATCATTCGGAAGATGGCGGACATTGGTAGTGATTTGGTAAAGCTCCACGATGGAAGGCTGGGAGACGTCGCGAGGGGAATCGGCGGCACTTTGGTGTCACCGCCGTTGGACGTGAGCGACGTCAAGCAGTATTTCGGAGAGAAGGGCTTCCCGGGTATCGTGTCCGTGAGGTGGATTATGTCATCCTTACGAACGCTACTGCGGTAGTACTCATGTATGGTTTGAGAGCGAGACGTGTGCAAGTGACCGTTTCACGGACGTGGATCTTCGGGGTATCTCCCGACATGTCTTCGGTAGTTGGAATTGTTCCGTGTTGCAGAAAGTCTGCGCGTCTTTTCGTCGGTGAATTTCTTGCGGCTGTTGCTTGATGCTTTGTGGCGCACGTGGCGCCCACTCTCTCCTGTTGCTTGTCTACGAGGGCAACCTAATAATCGACTTTACCATCTCTTCATCCCTGTCAACCTAGTCAGCCGTGCTTATCCAGCAGCACTAGGCTTGGAACCAATCAACATATCGAACGACCTCATTGAGATAGTCGGCGAAGGAGCCCCGGCCCCCACTCTAGACTCGCAGCAAAAAAAACTTAAGAAAGAAACCCTTGGCACACGGCAACCACCGTAGCGTAGACGAACACCAAACGCAAGTGTGGGAAAAACTATGCGACGATGTCAAGCGATACAGGTGTATCGTCCTGAGAAAGGCGAACGCGTCGGACGTACGTGGGATCAGAGTAGCCCCGTTGGGAGCGGTCCCAGGAAAAAAAGTGAGGATCATCAACGACTTCATCTCTTTTGACCCAAGCACTAGCAAGGGGTCAAAAGGTGGGCTCAACAAAGATACCATTATGTCCGGAGTTCCACGTTGCCTGTGCGGCGAAGCCCTACCAGCTTTCCTCGAGGAGCTCACTAGCCTACGAGTAAGATGGCCAGACAAGAGAATCCTCGCAGCCAAGGCTGATGTCACCTCTGCGTTCAGAAATGTGAGGATATCACCAGATCATGCACACAACTTTTGCTACGTGATAGGAGACGTGCTAGTAGCGGATCTACGGCTGACCTTTGGCTGGGCAGCGTCACCAGGATTGTGGGGTGTGTTAGCCTCCGNCTGTTAGCCGCCGCTGCAGAGCACTCGCACCGCAACACGTCCCTCGCGAACGCTCGACTACTACCAGAAAGAATCGCAATGACGTCCCACGTGAAAATAAAACCTCCTGAGAAAAAGGCACCCCAACCCCAATGAATAATTCTATTTACGTCACCGGTGGCGTTATTTCTTATATACGTCACCGCCCGTATCTCAGCCCACAGAGCTTCAATTGCCACAAAATAAATTGCGTTGTGTAGCTTGACCCACACCAATCATACAAGCCTTTCGACGGTCAAATCCGATAAGTGGNAGAATCGCAATGACGTCCCACGTGAAAATAAAACCTCCTGAGAAAAAGGCACCCCAACCCCAATGAATAATTCTATTTACGTCAACGGTGGCGTTATTTCTTATATACGTCACCGCCCGTATCTCAGCCCACAGAGCTTCAATTGCCACAAAATAAATTGCGTTGTGTAGCTTGACCCACACCAATCATACAAGCCTTTCGACGGTCAAATCCGATAAGTGGTTGCGGAGATATGCTCAAAAAGGGGCTCAGCGGTATGATATGCTGTATCTGCCATAAATAAAACGACCGTGCCTCCTCGCAGAGAGTTATCGACACCAACTATGTAACTCGCGTTGTGTTTCCACGATTCACAGCCATCACTTAAGCTATTGGTGTCGATTGGAGCTCTCTGCGCGAAGTTACAGTCGGATTATTTTGTGGTAGATGCACTATCATACTGCTGAGCCCCCTTTTGAGCAAATCTCCGCATCCACTCATCGGATTTGACCGTCGAAAGGCTTGTATGACTGGTGTGGGTCATAGCTACACAACGCAATTTATTTTGTGCCAATTGAAGCTCTGTGGGCTGAGATACGGGCGGTGACATTTGTAAGAAATAACGCCACCGGTGACCTAAATAGAATTCTCCGACAACCAACCCCAATACCATCGTCGGCAGGCGTAAGACCGCATAGAGGCGGGGGACCCGCGGACGATTTGTTGGCCAGGGTCTACGTTGACGATTTCTTGCTCACGAAGGTCCAGCATGACCCCACTGACCAATCGGCACGCATCGCGTCCGCCTCACTAGCGTCAGACCATGTCAGGCTGTTTGGCAAGGGAGAACTCGGAGAAACCCCCATTCTCGCCCCGACAAAGAGCACTGACTGGGACACGGTCATAGAGGCCCTGGGGTACATCATAGACACGCATGCTGGCAGAATTGCAACTACACCGGACAGGGTAAGCGCGATTCGGAACATACTAGAGACAGATTCACCCCACGATAGGAAGAAGGCCAGTGTTCAAGAAGTCCTCAGCATTGCAGGNGCATCGCGTCCGCCTCACTAGCGTCAGACCATGTCAGGCTGTTTGGCAAGGGAGAACTCGGAGAAACCCCCATTCTCGCCCCGAAAAAGAGCACTGACTGGGACACGGTCATAGAGGCCCTGGGGTACATCATANTAGGAAGAAGGCCAGTGTTCAAGAAGTCCTCAGCATTGCAGGAAAACTGTGGAACCTCACTTATGTTATCAGGGCCGGTAGGTACTTCGTGTGGCAACTGCTCCGCCTATCGGGTCTGCATACGCAGGCCAGTCGACACACACGGTCACGACGACTAGTGGACTTGGGTAGAGAGTTCCACGGCGATATCGCCTTCTTTAAGTGGGCCCTCAATCAGCCACTGGCACTTCGAGGGGAGTCCCTGAGCGCATCGTTTCTACTACACGTAAAACGAGCACCATCACGCCTTTACCTCTCAGACGCTAGCTTCACAGCG